TCGAGCCTTCTAACACCTTAGGCGTCCTAGGTGCACTAGACAACCACCTATAAAGAGGTATGTTGGGTCAGTCAGGTTGGAGAAGCACGGGGGCTCCTCCTCGTGAAATGCAAATATGAAGCAGTTATCTAGAGCGGTCCTTAAGTATTGTGGAGGCTTTATTAACATATGCTGGAAAGTAAATGTTGCAATTTTTAAATCTTGAATATTTTAATCCTAAATTTTAATTATCTTGAATATTTTATTTAGGATTTTGTAGAAAGTTACAATTTTAGGGTCCTTAATGAGCCTGATTATATCGTGAAATCCCAAATAAACCACAGAAAGAAACAAGAAAAATACATTCAAGTGCAAACATGCAAAAAACAAAACAAGTCACGTCAAAATAATAAACATGTCGGTGCCGCTAGGTCGGCAACATATCCCAGAAAAGAAAAGGGCGGCCGGACTCCGCATATACACGCCCGGTCCTACGGTCCTAATTCAATATAAAATGCAGAATTAAGATACGGGGCACGAGCATTTGCTTCTGGTCCCCTCCACATGGTTCCTGCACCAAACACCTCGGAACCCGTACCCGTATTTTATTTCTGCTACAGGAATCACATGCAAATAATGTATCATGAGCCATGTCTTAAAAGTGGGGGGAGCTAATAACACCTGCAAGCAAAAGGGTCAGAAATCATTACTAACTCCCCCCATATCGGTACCTGTGTGTGTATATAAATAGACATGACTCCCTGCAGAAAAACGCCCCAACACACTACCATACATATGCAACATACAGTCACACCACAAATATAATGCAGAAGAACAATAGCCAGATATCAAAAAGACTACCTAAGCACCATAAATCCTAGCCTAACACAACATCTAACGAAAAGTGTGTCAACCTAGTATCTAAGTGCGGGGTAGGTTTGAGTATAGTATGACTTTGACGAGGTTGTCATACCGACCCCATCCTAAATATCCGAAGGATCTAAAGGGTGTCACGAAGAGTGATGACATGAGTTAGTTCTATTAGATCTTTAGCACTGTCATACTCGTGTCAATGTCGATGACTTAACGCGCATTGCTCACCGGGATCAACCCAACAAGCAATGCTTGTTAAGGCATCGCGACCAACATGAGGACACTCTCCTAACGAGCTTGGCTCGCTATCTATGCAAACATGCAAATGCAAATACAGACAATCATGTGACAGAAGTGATGAATGTATCGTGAGGCAGTGACTCAGGAAAAGAGGGGCATGCCGTGGAGGCAGCGACCCGAAAAAATGGGTGTGTCGTAGCGACAGTGACCCGAAGGGTGGGCATGTCATAGCGGCAGTGGCCCGTAAGTGTGCTGAGGTGGCAGTGATCAAAATGGATGCACGTGTCGTGGAGGCAGTGGCCCGAAGAAAGGTGTACCGAGGGGGCAGGAACTCGGAGGTGGCAGTAACTCGGAGACAGTGGTGATTCTCACTGGGAGCATCACCCAAATGCAGATGCAAATGAAAATGCAAACATATATGGTGCAACATGCAAGCAGGCAAGCATGTGATATAATGCAAAAACAGCAAAAATGCAGATGATCGGTCGACCGAGCCGTGGTGGCCGGTCGAACCAAAGTGATTAGTCGACCGATTCAGGATGACCGACCGAGCCACAAATGGGGTTGACCAGTCCGAGACGACCGATCGAGGAGCAAGTGGTGCTGGTGCAAGTGCAAATGCGAGACACAAGGTGCAAGTGCAAGTGCAAAATGCAAATGCAAGGTGCAAAGTGCAAGTGCAAGTGCAAGTGTCGACGCGATATGCGACATACAATATGTAACAAGCAGGACATACATATGCAAATAATGAGGTGCAAATGACCACATATGATAGCGAGTCATGCTCGTACTAATGACCTCACCTGAGAGACCTAAGATTTAAACTCTTGGATGTGCGGCACCGCTCCTCTTGTTTCGATGAGGAAATGTGGGGAATTTCTCTTCGAATCTCCGAGGGGGAAACTCTCCACAGCGTCGCGAAATAGAATAGCTACAAAGCTTTTCCTATTTTTGCGAACTCCTCCATACTTTGCCAAGCGAGCCAACTATAAAGCTTCTCTTGCTTTGCCAAGTCCGACCTCCCAACTTCTCCAAGTAAAGCTGGGGAATCCAAAGCAAGAGGAGTGAGAGACTCCGACCCATCGAGACTTGTGCTAAAACTCATAACAAAGGGAGACACTCAGCTCTACGGAGGGGTATTTGGCCCCGCACAGGAAGTCCTAATCTAAAGGCTGACTCTAGGAAATCCAACGATTCATCACGCAGGCACATCGTTGCGCTGACCTACGCCGACACACGTACCCTGTGTGGGCGATTGAACCCACACACCTAGACTCCACTATTACTAAGGCTGGCTAGGAGGGAGGAAATCTCACCACCATGATGGTTGCAGACACGTTTTCTTTGCTTAATCCAAGCTCGCCGACGTCCAATCCATGCTCCAGTGTGCCTCGTAGGGCGTGCACAAGATAATAAAAAAAGAGATTGGAAGGGCAAGAGGTATGCGAAGTACCATAAATAAATAATTTTGGCATATAAAAATATAACTAAACTATACCTTCGCGATGGAGGTTGCTCAGCGGCGGCAAAGGAAGGGAACCCAAGAGATAAAAGACACATGCGCCTCCTCGAACAGCAGAATCGTTCGCTGTCTGACGATGTCGAAGTGCTCCGGCGAAGTATCCAGCCGCCGGGAAGCTAAGACGGCGAGGTGGAGTTAGCTCACTGGCAGTGCACATTGGGAGCGAAGAAAATGCGAAGGAGAGCCCAAAATCCAACATCCTCCTCGCTGATTTTCTCCGGCGTAAATGCGATGCCAACGAGACAAAAAGACCAGCGAGGAAGAGGCTCGTCGAGTTGGGTCGGTGAAAAAAAGAAGCTCGACTGGCCAAGGAAAGGAAGATGTCGAAGGTGGCGGCTTGGCCGACAGGTGGAAGTTCGACAGCTGAAGATCTCGAGGAGGAGGTGTTTGCCGGTGAGGAGTGCCGGCAATGCGTCGGCGGCGAGACTAGAGGCCAAAACTCGGTCTGCCGAGAGGAAAGAAGGAGGATGCGAGAAGGCCGAATTTTTGCGCAGGGAGAAACTGAAATCTGCCAGATCTGGTCACCTGTTGGAGAAGATCGGCGGACGGTCTAAGAAGAGGAGATCCGACAGCTGGAGGAGCGCAAGGGAGGAGATCCGATGGTTCGGCTGGCCGAGAGGAGAGGAGAAGGGGGCGGCTCGGCAGCTGGAGGAAACGCTCGGCGTGGCCGGCGTCGGTGGGCTTCGCCGGTGAGGGAGAAGATCCGGCTGAGGGGTGCTTGGGCGGCGGCTGTGTGCGATTCAGGGTAGAGGAAGAGGAGCGAGGGGTTTTAAGTTTTATTCAGGGTGCTTGGGCGGCGGCTGTGGCCCGTCATAATAACTATGCCAAGTCTTTTTGTAAGCTAAGAGAGAGAAAAAAATAGAGAAAGAGAAATGAAGTTCTCTTATAAACATCGAGGCGCTCAACGGTGTAATTTCTCGATGTACTAAAATCCTTTGCAACTCCATGAATGTAAGCAAATTAGTCGAACCACATAAATCTGCGTGTTATTTTTTTGTTTGCAATTTTTCGATCCAATTTTTCACTTTATTGCAGTTTTTTTCATAACATTGCTGGCTTGGCTCGAACAGCTCCACTCGATCAGACAAGCAAGTCCTTCATCTTACTTTTCTCTTTTGTCAATGAACTCTCCTCCAGATTAATGAAGACACCTTTTTAATGTACACAGTTTATTTTTAACTACATCAAACTAAATAATTTGAACCAGACAAATCTTAATTATTTTCTTAAAATATATATATTTCTTAACTTCATTCAAGAAGGTTCACATTCTGATAGTTTCAGCATAGAGTAATCGTCATAAGGCTTTCCAAATCAATCTTTTCTCACCATGAGAATACAATACTAGGATCAAATCTAATCTTAATACCCCCAAAATGCATATATGTATCACCATTTTCCAAAATATAACTTGGAAATATATTATCACATGATTAACTCAGATAATTCATTTCATAAATATCAAGCAAATTTATTTATATTTATCAATAATGCTTGTAAGGTGCTTGCAAAGTTCCTGAGGCTTCGAAAGCATGGGCATATGATCTGTATCAATCTCCCTCACCTCTTTAACCGGATTATTACTGATCATCCAACGCTGATGTCCCTCAGTAATGGCTCCATCACTGTTACAGATAATGTAAAATTTATCAACTGAGCCATATCCCTCTTGAGACAGTATTGCTGCTTTCTTCAAATCCTCATAGAATATCGATCCAATCCTCACCATTGAAATTGCCAGAGTCAAATCCTAACCATTAAGAAATATTATATATGAACATAAAAAATAGGTTAGCAGGAATTTGAGAAAATCTAACAAGTCAAAAGAGGCGTGATCGAAGAAGACCCTCCAAGGGTTAAATTACAAAACATGTGAATTAGAAATGTTCATTGGCCTAGTTCCCTCGGAGCACGATCCAAAGTCGATCAACACACCAAAAAATTGATCAGCGAACAAAACAGATAGGGCGAAGATTCTATAAGCCGACAGATTATTTCAATCGACTGATTGTCCGAACTCAGCGTAGCTTGCCTAGCGGGCCTTGTCGATCAAAGGATTATCAGACGTAGGTGGCTGATCAAGAGCGGATCCGAAGACTTGTTTATTTATTTATTTATCAACATGTATCTAAATGTTTATTTATTTAGTTTTGACTAGCATGCATCTAAATATTTATTTTTTTACTTTTGACTATATAAATTATCATGTTCTACTTTAACCTAATGTGCACACTCTCTCTCTATAATTCACAGGAAAATCTTAGACTCAACAATATATTTCATTAAACTTCTTTATAATTACCTTTTAATCTAATTTTACGAATATCACAGCAAAAAAAAAAAAATCACAAAAATTTAATTTTGATAAATTCTCAATGATCCTCACCTCAGGAGCACAAAGTTGATAGAGTTTTTCTCTCAAGAACTGAGGACCGAACAGCATTGTGTGGAATGGTTGCTCTCTTCCAGAAACTCTCACCTCCTTGAATTCAACATCCATCCATGCCGCAGCATCAGGAAAATACTCTACAAGCTGTTTTTAACATACAAAAAAAAAAAAAAAAAAAAAAAATTTTCCATATCGATCTACAACATATAATTTATCATCAGAAACAGAAAAAAATATATATGTACTTTATCAAAAACAGAGGAAGGTGGAGAAACTGTATCCGGCATGTACGCTGCGACGAAAATAGCAACGGCTATTTTATGAGGAAAAGTATCCATGGCGAGAGCTAAAGTTTGGCCTCCGAAGCTATGGCCGATCAAGACAGCTTTTTGTCCTTCTGAGAGTTCAGCAATGGCTTCCATCAATGGTTTTGAGTAGTCAGCAAAAGTGAGAACATCTTCTGCCATTCTGTATTTGCTAGTGCCGGCGGCGGCGAGATCTAATGTGAGAACTGAATGGCCGTCGGCGCGCAGAGAAGTTGCCACTTTGTACCAGCTCCATGCCCCATGGCCAAGGCCGTGTACAAGAATGATTTTGAGCTGCTTGCCGGCCATCTCTCTCCCTCTCTCCCTCTCTCCCTCTCTCCCTAGCTCCCTCTTTCCTCCCATAAGCTGTTGAGATTAGTGGAGCCCAGTCCACTGTTTGGTATGACAATTATTTTAAATTAATTATTATATTAATTTCTTTTCTTTATTGTTGCCACCTCTTTACCTCCCGTTTTTCTTGTTCAAAGCAGAAGAAATTTGATTAAGAAGCTACAGGCGGTTTTACTCCTTTTTACGTTTTTCTTTGTTTGGAATTGTGGCTTATGGAAAAAGGACAACAAAATCAATTTGTAGAATTACTTAAATCTGTGTGTTCCGTTATTCTCTATTCTATAGTGTAAATTATCTCATTCTATTTTTCATTTTTTTCGTCGATAGTTTTACATACCACAACAGCTGTTATCAAAACCGTGGTTCAGATTTGAGAAAGAATGATGATAGGAGATGAAGTGAAAATTTCAGGGATTGAGAAATTTGATGACATAAATTTTGATTATTGAGGATGTAGATAGATGACTACCTCTATGGGAAGAAACTTCATCTTCCATTATTGAAGAAAAGACCGGACATGATGGATGAGGCTGAATGGAGTTTGTTGCATCAATAAGTTCTGTGGGTTATTCAATTAACTCTGTCGAGGTTCGTTGTACACAATGTCGTCAATGAAAGGACTACTGCAGATCTCATGACAAGCTTGCCAGATATGCATGAAAAGCCATCAGTGAATAATAAGATATATCTGATCAAAAACTTATTTAATTTGAAGATGGCGGAATATACGTCTGTTGTACAACACCCGAATGATTTTAATACTATCAAAAATCAATTATCATTAGCGAAAAGTAAATTTGATGATGAGATACGTATATTGATCTTGTTGACTTCATTGTCAAATAGCTGAGAAGCAATGAGGATGACTGTTAGCAACTCTGCAGGTAAATATAAACTGAAATATGTTATTCGTGATTTGATTTTAGCTAAGGAGGTGTGCTGGAAAGATTTTTGCGAGACTTCGGGTTCAAGTTCAACATTAAATGTTGATTTCAAATATAGATCACATAACAGGAACAAAAACAGAGAAAGATCAAAATCAAAGCATAGATGCAGGAATAAGTCAAGGCCTGGTCAGAAAAAAACTTGTTGGAACTATGAAAAAACTGGTCACATAAAGAGGAACTGCATAAAACCCATAAAGGCAGAAAATGATAGAGAAAATATGGTAACTGAAAAAACACAAGATGCACTACTGCTAGTAGTTCATAGTTATATTAATGACTAGATACTGGATTCCAGAGCTTCTTTCCATACAACATTCCATCAAGAATTAATGCAAAATCATATTGTAAGTAACTTTAGGAAAGTATATTTGGCAGATGGAGAAGCTTTGAATGTGGTAGGAATTGAAGACATTAACATTGCACTTCCAAACAAGAACAGAAGATATGTCCAAAAAGTCAGACACATTCCTCAACTGAAGAAGAACCTCTTTTCTGTTGAGTAGCTTGATGAGTGTGGACATTCAATAATATTCTCAGATAGCACCTGTAAGGTTATTAAAGGAGCACTGATACTGGCTCGAGGTAAGAAAACATGTACTTTGTATATGACTACTGGTTTAATTAATAGTGTTGATACTACTGTTGCAAAGAGCATAGTAGAGTTTTGGCATTGTAGACTTGGCCACATGAGTCAGAAGGGTATGAAGGAACTTTAGTCTAGAGGCAAGTTACCAGAACTGAAGTCAGTTGATCTCAACATGTGTGAGAGTTGCATTATGGGGAAACATAGGAATGTTAGTTTCTTGAAAAGTGGCACAAAGATGTGTGAGGACATTCTCCAGTGACATCTCATTAAGGCTCTCATTACTATGTCACGTTTATTGATGATTGTAGCAGAAATGTATGGGTTTATTCCTTGAAGCATAAATCTAATGTATTTAATGTGTTTAAGACTTGGAAGGCCATGGTTGAGACATATAAAGACTAAAAGATGAAATGTTTGAGGTTTGATAATGGTGGTGAGTACATTGAAGACAATTTCAAGGAGTATTGTGCAGCTAAGGGCATCGAAATAAAGAATACAATTCCAGGAACACCACAACAAATTGGTGTTGCAGAGTGCATGAAAATAACCATTAATGAGCGGGCTAGAAGCATGAGATTGCACGCTGGACTGCCACCTATTTTCTGGGCAGAAGCTGTTAGCATTGTAGTTTACTTGATCGACAGGGGGTCATCCGTTCCACTACATTGTGAATTGTCTGAGGAGATCCAGAGTGGGAAAGAGGTCAAATTTTCTGACCTTAAAACTTTTGGTTGTCTTTCATATGTTCTCATTAATCCTGATGCTCGTAGTAAGCTTGAGACTAATTCAAAGAAGTGTTTTTTCATTGGTTATGGAGACGAGACATTTGATTTTTGTTTCTGGGATGATCAGGGTCGAAAGATCATGAAGAGTAGGAACATGATTTTCATTGAGAAGATTATAGAACAAGTCTAGTACAGTTTCTGAAACAACACTGCATGAATCTGAGTTGGTAAGGTTTGATGATTTATCAGAGGTCACAGTACAAGACAGAGATGCAAGTGATAAGGAGAGTGTGTCCGGGACACCCATTCCTATGTTCCACAGTCAGTTTCAGAGAAGTCTACCCTTATAGCCGCAGTTCACAGGTCAGAAAGGACTAGACATTCTCCACAGCGTTACTCTCCAACTTTGAACTAAATTATGATAACAGATGCTGGAGAACCTAAGAGTTTTGAAGAAACATTGCAAGATGAAAATTCGAGCAAGTGGGAGTTTGCCATAAAAGAGGAGATGGATTCTCTGTTAGAAAATCAGACTTGGGAGTTGACAAAACTTCTATTAGAAAAAAAACATTTCACAATAAGTGGGTGTACCGGGTGAAGACTGAGCATGATGGCGGTAAGAGATACAAAGCTAGACTTGTTGTAAGAGGCTTTCAACAAAAAACATTGTATTGGTTATTCCGAGATTTTCTCTCCTATGATGAAGCTCACAACCATCAGAATGTTACTGTCTATGGTGGCTATTGAAGATCTCTTCCTTGGAGCAGCTAGATGTGAAAACAATCTTTCTTCATGGAGACCCTGAAGAAGACATCTACATGCACCAACCTAGGGGATTTGTGGTACAGGTAAAAGAAGATTTCATTTGTAGACTAAAGAAGAGCTTATATGACTTGAAACAAACTCCTAGATAAGGTAAAAGAAATTTGATAATTCATTCACAATGTATGGTACAACAGATGTCAGACAGATCATTGCTGTTATGTCAAACATTTTGATAATTCCTATATTATTCTACTATTATATGTGGATGACATGCTTATTGTAGGGGCTAATATTGATGAGATCAATAACCCAAAGGAGCAGATGTCAGAGCACTTTACAATGAAAAATTTGAGAGCTGCGAAGCAAATACTTGGCATGATAATTGTCAGAGATAAAGTCAAAAGCACGTTGAGACTCTTTCGGGCTGAATATGTGAAAAAGGAACTTAGCAGGTTCAACATGTATAAGTCAAACCAGTTGACACACCTTTGGGCTGTCATTTCAGACTCAACAAGAATCAGTTGCCCAAGTCAGAGGAGGAACGTGACCACATGAGTAAAATTCCTTATGCTTCAGCTATTGGTTCACTTATGTATGTTATGGTTTGTACCAGAACGGATATTGCACATGCAAAGGGACTTGTTAGCAAATACACAAGTAATCCTAGAAAGAACATTGATAAGCTGTGAAGTGAATCTTGAGATACCTAAGAGACTCTTCAAAAACGTGCTTGTGTTTTTTAAGAAAATTTTAGAGGTACAGGGCTATGTTGATGTTAATCTTGATGGAGACATTGATACCAGAAGCACTAAGGGCTATATTTTCACACTTGGATGCACCGCAGTGTCATGGGCTCTAATCTGCAGAAGACAGTTTTTTTTATCTACTACAGAAACTGAGTATATAGCAGTGTCAGATGCTACAAAGGAGATGATATAACTACATGACTTCTTGAAAGAATTGGGCAAAAAAAATCAGAAGGGCATTCTCTACGGTGATAGTCGGAACGCCATACTCATTGCAAGAAATTCAATATTTCAGTCCATGACCAAACACACTCATATGAAATATCTCTTCATACCTCCATATAAGTCAAAAACTAAATTTGAGGAATAGCAATAATATCTCGCCTAAACCCTACCTAGGTCCACCCCTGATTATCACGACCATAGGATTTTTTTTCATTATTTAAATACAAAAAGTAAAGTTTTTAAACTTAATTATCACTATTGTCTTTTCATAAAAGAAAATTATTATTAAATTTTCATCGATTGGGGATGAGATTTTTAACATTTTGCAAATATCCAACCCAATAATATTATAATTTCAAATCTCAGCTGATGAGATGATGCTCGAAGCAGGCCTACAAAAAAATAAAAAATCAAAAAAAAATTAGAATCTTGCAAGAAAATATGCTCCTAATAATAGCTCTGGATTTTCATTAATAATCCCTCAATTTCTTCTGTGATAACCAATATTTCAAATCAGTAACTCGATAAAACAATATTTGTGTAAATTATCTTGTTATTTGTGTGCATTATCTTGCTATTTAATTTAATTAGCATATATTTAAATATTTACTTCTAAATCGTCCATGGCATCCCTACAGAAGCAATCAAAGAAGCATCAGAAAGTCAAAATCCACAATCTATTAATTACAGATTCAGTTCCATCCACAGTAAGACAGCCATACTAGTTCTTGAATTTGCAGAATAAAATTTACAGTGCTAATAATCTCAGGCTTTTGCTTCAAGAATAATTGAAGAATATGGAGCCATACTATACACAGATCCATTGACCAGCACTCCTTCAGCCACAAAATCTTCTGGGGATCCAAAGTTTGTGTCTACCTGCAAATAGTGTAATATTTAGGAGTGAAATATGTAAAATATAAAGTTTAGAGTGTTATATATGTAAAATATAAATGAAGGATCTTACCACTCTATACCAACGCCTCCCATTTGGTGGTGAAGGAACTTTACTTTCAGTGTAGTGGTCATGCGCATTGAAAGCAACATAGATATCTCTGAATTTATCATCATGGAGCCTGAGGAAAAAGGATATTTACATATCTAACATCTTAAGTTTAATATTTACATGTGTAAGACTCGAATCAATAACATCACGTCAAAAACATGGTATTAGTCAATAGGTTTTTACATACATACCATGGAATTCTATGCATATACATATCTAACAACTAAACATCAATTTTTATATATAAACCTCCTTTCTTATGCATAAAAATAACTGAATACACCTTTTTATGCATGGGTGCGGTGGCATATATGTAAAAATTATATGCATGAGAATTCTATGGTATATATGTAAATCTTCAGAATAACTATTATAAAGTGAAATTCATGTTTTACTTGCATGATAACCCAAGTGTTATACGTGTACACAGCAAATTAAAGTGTTAGAAATATACATACATAAATTGAGTAATATATACAAAAAAAAAATGTATTAGGAGATATGAAAAAGCAGCAGTTTAATCGTTCTGGAAATAGCAGGAATAAATTTCACTCACGTTTGTGTAATATATACATAAAAAAAATGTATTAGGAGAAATATAAAAAAGCAGCAATTTAATCGTTCTAGAAATAGCAGGAATAAATTTCACTCACGTGAAAGCTAGGCATCTGCTTTCCGGATTGTCCCAGTGGTCCTCGTGCCATATCACATCATTCTGCACATGTTCAGTTCAATTAAGATTAAATTAAAACCATTCAATTCCGTCAGGCATTCGACATTTCCTCAAAGTTATCCCTTCAATCTGCTGGTTTATTGATTTATCAGTAGATTTACGTACATACCACTCAATTCCTATATATTTACATATCTAAAAGTGTCAAAAAAAAAAAATAAAAAAACTCGTTATTCGCAAATAATTCGTGTTCGGTTCATCAAATGAATTCATGTTCGATTCGTTCGATAAATAAACGGGACGAACGTAAACAAATTTTTTTCATTCGGTTAATTAAAGGAACCAAACACGAATAGTGATGCGTTTGATTGCGTTCGAATCGTTATTGTTCGAAATATAAAATAATTTAAAATAATTATATATAAAAAATGTATGATAATTTAAAAAAATTAAATTTTATAAATTATAATATATAATAAATTAATAATAATAATATATTAATATACTATATTATAATATACAACATAAGTTATATATAATATATATATATATATATTGAAAGCCCAAAAAGGCATATATATATATATTAAAGAGGTCAAACTGATTCGTCATTAGCGAACAACTCGTGTTCAGCTCGTTCGTTAAGAAACAAACACGAACAATTTCGAACACGAACTTATTTCAAACAAACCGAACACGAACACAAGCTTTGTTCGTTTACCCCTAGCCCCACAAACTACAAAATTTTACATTAATTACACATTACCTAAGACTGAAAAAGGTGTAATTCACCTTTTTAAAATTAAAATGATTGAAATTTTTATGTGAAATGAGATTTGGGTGGTATAAATGTAACATAGAATTTAGAAGTTAGGTGTGTAAACACATAGGAATTGAGTGCTATGTATGTAAAATGCCCCTTTTTTTAAGGGGCTCGCAGTTTTCTACTTATCTGGCCGCTCAATAAATGTAATGTGCTGCACGTGGCTTCAATGTAGGATACGAGCGAATAAAGAAAAACAGAGCACTTACATACATACCACCCAATTCTTAAGCATTTATATATCCAAAACCAAAACTTTACTTTTTTTTACATTTGTAGCACCTAAAATTTTTATCTCACAACAAAAATATCATTATTTGAACTTTTAAAAGGTTAAATACACTTTTCATACATAGGTAAAAGGTGGCACAAATGTAAAATTGAAGTTTAGGCGTTAGATATGTAAATACATAAGAATTGAGTGGTATGTATGCAAATTCTCCAAAAAAAAAAAGAGGCATTTACATACATATCACCCCATATCACCCAATTCTTATCTATGAACATATCAACCATCAAGTCTTCAATTTTTACATATGGACCACCTGATTCCTATGTTTTTAGCAGTGGTTTACAGGTAAAAATTGAAGTTTAGTTGGTTGATATGTTAATACATAGGAATTGATTGGTAAGTATGTAAATCTCTCAAAATAAATAAAAAATATAAAAAAAAAGTTCCGTACTCATTATAATGAAGAGTTGAATAAAGTTGCAGCTAAAACAACATTATAATAGGGAATCTTAATATAACCTTTAAGAAAAATAAAGGCTGATTTACCTTTTCAAGAAATCGATCACATTTTAGTATAGGATGCGTGTGGCGGAACTTAATCATCTCTGAGAAAAATCGAAAAAGATTGTCTCTTTTTGCATTTAACTGTTCCAGAAAAAAAAAAAAAAAAAAAACATTATATTCCATACTTTCCTAACATAAAAACGAACAAACAAAAAAAAGAAGACATTTTGCACCTCTCCCCATTGAAAATGATTGATGGAAGTGTCGTGTCCGTAACTATTATTATTTCCATATCTTGTATGCCCATATTCATCACCCATGAACATCATTGGTGTTCCCTGCAAAAATAGAGATGTAAAATGTAAATAGGAAAACATTTGGGCTGTTTGTATTAGGAGTGTAGAGTATCCCACATGCATGGGTTTTTGAAGTTATAATTCTTTGGTTAGGAAAAAAAAATAAACCTGGAGTAACATATTGAACACCTCATGTAAATCTCTTCAACATGCTATTCATGTATAAATATTTATTAATAAACCTTACAAACATTGTAAACAATTTTCAGTACAGGATGGCTAAAACAAGAAATTAATTTAGAAAATCTATGAAAAGTTAAAATAAGGCTATAAGAAAACTTATTTGCACAACTTAAAATTCTTGCAAAAATAATATGAAGAACAAAATAAATAGAACATTGGCCACCTATAGCTACCTGAGAGATCATTAATGCAACATGGAAGTTCTTCATTTGTCGCACACGCAGATTTCTGATAGTAATATCATCCGTTTCACCTACAAAGGCCACATGTATGCAACTTAATCAAAATATCATTATCAGCCATTAATTAATTACATTGGTTTTTCCTATTTATCGATTTGTCAAAGTAATATTATCAAACATAACTATTGAAATCATCCCTGGCAGTGGAATTAGACCACCGATAAATAACTGGACTTCCAAATGTATTCGAATCAGTTTAACAATTTATGATGCCAAAAGGTTTCTGCAATATGGCTTCACATTTAAGCTTATGGAAGACTTCACAATTTTTACGAACTGTCTCTCGATAGAAATGAATGACATTCGTTACAAAGAAAGGCTTGTGCATTTCGATGCATTTCATGAGTAGTAGAATGCATAGTTTCACTTGATTGAAATCTGCAAGTTTAAACTTTAAATACAATACTAAACCATCTATCCACTTCAAACTAATAAGAATAGTGTCATATTTAACTGATTATAGATAGTTTAATCAAAATCACATAAGAAAAAAGCATAAAGAGTGTTTTGGATTGCAAAAGAATAAATTTGCACTTTTAAAGCTTAGCTTCTTCCAAATCAACCTATGTCAATATGCATTTTAATTGGGATGCCTAGAGCATGTATATGTGATGACTTTTACCTAAAATAATTCAGGGATGACTATATTAGACTCCATTAATATGGGCTAAAATAGTCCACACTCTCTTTTAAAGGGAGGAATGTATCAGCCCAAAAGAGTTTTAAGGGTTTGTTTAGGGCAGTTGTAGCCTTTAGAAGAAGCAACTGTGAATTGCAACAGAAGAAACTGTTTTTCAAAAAGCTGCGGTGACTATTACAAATTTATTTTATTTTCAAAAAATCAGACCGTAACTTTCAGACAGTCACCACACTTTAATGGCGGTTGAAAAAAACAACCTTCTATTACAAAAATTTCTAAAAAGTAGCAAGAAAATAGTTCCCCAAATAAAAATGTGATGGCGGTCTAAAAAACAAGGCTAACAAAAAACCGTCCAAAACAGACCCTAATTTAGTATTTTTATAGGCCCTGGGACTAAAATCTGTAAATAATTAGTGTGCCATTTTGCCACTTCTATAAAAAGTTAACACAAACGAAAATGCTATAGAGAAAAAAATTTATTTGTTATAAAAAGATTTCATTCTTATGGAAGAATTAAAGCATTCCTTTTCTCAAAAAAATTGATGCACTTTATTTTCATAACTAAGTTTCATCATAAAATAAGCTTGAAATTGAAGTGTTGAACCACTTTTTTTTTATCGTACTTGATAGTACTAAAAAATCATTTCCTTTCATTCCAGATGTTCCAAATACTTGAAAGCTACAGAATGACCCAGAAATCATTAGCATTATCTACAATTGAGAGGTCAATTTTACATAAAAAAAGTGATGAAAACACATCCCCAAAATTTTATCCCATAAAAGTGGACTTTGATATTCAACACTTGAATTGGTTGTGCTCCGTAGTTGAAAAATATGTTTCACAATATCAAATTATAAAAAGGGTATATCACTGTACAAATGTACGAAATTCTTCTTAAAAAACATTTCATTTACACTCTCAAATATGGCTAGACTACTTAGCCAAAGAAAATACAACTTAAAAGCATAGCGAGTCACTATTCTAGCTTCAAATAGTTTGTTTGAGTCACAAGTTTTCAAAAACACACGTGTCGACGAACTTATAATGCATACTTCACTATTTTTTTTTGATGAAATGGATAAACTTGAATAGAAACTATGCATCAAGCTGTTACAGAAAAAGAATAGGACCAAAATGAAATACCTTCAAATCCACAGTTCCAACTAAAATTATCATTGCATCCATCCTTTCCATCTTCACCATTAGCATCATTATGCTACATGAAAGTAACATTAAAAAGCATCATTGATGATAATACATGTGCCCTTATTCTGAGTAATATATATTTTTCCTCCTTTCAAGTGTTAACTAAATGACTATATATAGGCATTTAAGGTTTTAGGTGAATACCTTGACATTGTATGAAACAAGATCGTACAGTGTGAAACCATCATGAGCGATGACAAAATTGATGCTATGATAAGGCTTGCGGCGATTTACCTGTTGAAAAATTTTCCCATAATAGTCGTGTTTAAATAATGTGTGAACTGCAATTTCTAAGCATAACATTAATCCTGTATTAAAAAAAAAAAAGTAAAATTTACATTCATGGCACAAATTTCCTATTTATTTACATATGCATATGTATATACATGACACTTTGGTGCTTTAGATCTTTGCATGAAAGAGTGCTATTTTGTTGAAAAATTAGGGTGAAGAAAGACGGTAATCGACACAAATCCAAAAGAACACAGAGATTTAACGAGGTTCGTCAAAAGATGCTTACGTCTTCGGGAACAGAGTGGCAAATTTCTTTTAATATTCAGAAAAGAGATTACAGATATCAGAGATAACACCTAGGGTTACATACAAACCTATTTATAACCCTAGAAAACTCTAGATTACAATATGTAATTACCAAATTACCCCTGTACCTCACCACAACCCACATAAAGAAACTCCCCTGATTTGGACAGAATTTTCCGCTCCGCTCCAGAATCTATCCCTTTATGGTAAATGAGTCATATCTAACAAATCTCCACCTTGGCGAATATCCAACCCCTTGGGAGAAATACGTCATGGAGTTTCTTACAAACTAGAAGTGGGTTGGGCCATCATGCTTCTCTAGCAACTACAAGCATTCAACAAGTTCAAGCAATGCAAGAACTTGTTGATAGTAACTGACTTGGTCAACATATCAGCTGCATTCTCATCAGTATGAACCTTTTGCAACAATATCTCACCAGAAGCAATCAATTCTCTGATATTGTAATACCTAACATCAATGTGCTTGGTTCTCGCATAGTACACTTGGTTCTTAGCCAAATAAATAGCACAATGACTGTCACAATGCAATTGAACTCCACCTTGCTCAACGCCCAGTTCATTTACTAAACCAACAAGCCATAAGACTTCTTTTGCAGCTTCAGCTACTGTCATGTACTCAACTTCAGTTGTAGATAATGTCACAATAGACTAAATTGTTAATTTCCAACATATAGGCCCTCCACCAAGAGTAAACACATACCCAATTGTAGACATTCTGCCATCCAAATCACCAGCATAGTCAGAATCAACGTACCCTACAACTGAAGGATCATCCTGCTTACTGCCAAAAATAATTTCATGTCCTACAATACCCTTCAGATAACTGAAAATCCACGTGACTGCTTCTCAATGTCGCCTTCCACGTTTAGCCGTGTATTTACAGACATGACTAACAACATGAGCCAAATAAAGACGAGTACATACCAATGCATACATCAAACAACCAACTGTACTGGCATATGAAACATTTCCATGACTTCGATTTCTGTATCTGTCTTAGAACACTGTTTTAAAGAAAACTTAAAATGATTTGCCAATGGAGTGCTCACAGACTTTGCTTTGCTCATCTCAAACTTGTCTAGTACTTTTTCAACATATTCTCGTTGAGATAAACATAATCGTCTTGAGTCTCTATCTCGATGAATCTCCATTCCATGAATCTTCTTCGTAAAATCCAAGTCTTTCATGTCAAATTTCTGGCTCAATAAAACTTTCAAACCACGAACATCATTCATATTTTTTGTAGCAATCAGTATATCAGCAACATACAATAACAGAAAAATAATAGGACGATTATCAAGGCTCTTCACATAAACACAACAATCATACTCACATCTATTATAGTCAATCTGAATCATGCAGGAGTCAAACCGCTTGTACTATTATCTTGGAGACTGTTTCAACCCATACACCCATTTCTTTAATCTGCAAACCAGATGCTCCTGTCTAGATTGAGTGAATCCTTCTGGTTGCTCCATGTAAATCTGCTCCTCCACAGGGTTGGGCCTTTATTTCTTCAGGCGTAACGAGATCCAAAGAATTTTTTGCAAATACAAATCTCAAATGGCTACTAATGCAAGCACTGCCCTGATTGAAGTATGTCTGACCACAGGAGAAAAGATTTCATCATAATCACCACCTTCTGCTGTGAAAATCCCTTTGCTACCAGTCGAGCCTTGAACTTTTCCCCTTCTTTTTCTGATACTGATGGTTTTCTTTTGTACACCTGTTGACCTCATTTTTAGTGAGGTCTAGTCTTCCTCTTAGGGTTTAGGATCTAGCCTTAGGGATCTCCCTTTGACTATCTTAGAACCTTAGAAGTGGTGCCCGCCTCGTTTTAATTTGACCTACTTCCGTCCTCTTTTGTGGTTCCAAGTGTGTGGTATCGACTTCTAGCATTTAGAAGGGTGAAACCAACATGAGGAAACCCAAAAGGGATCCCTATAGGACCTTTTTGAGCCTTAGGGTGGCCTTCTGCACAATTCGCACTCCCGCGCGCACAAACTTCGCAATTCGGAGAGCCAACACGTCCGATCGCCATAATTCACATCGCTTGCACTGTTACCCGTCGAAGACTCGAATGAAATTTTTGAAACAATCGATCGCGGGTCAATATTTTTGTGAAATTTGAATTTCGACGCGTTTTTGACCCGACCGTCGACGACGTCGTCCGAGCGACCCCGGATGACGAAACGGACTGCGCCAACGCGTCCGGAACGTCAATTTTGCCTAGGGAGGACACCTATTTTGTCGCATCGTCGTGCGCGGGTAAAATGTGTTTTAATTTATATATATATATATATATATTTATATGTATATATATATTTATATATATGTTAGGTTAAGCATTTTTTCTCGTTT